CAACCGGATGAATACTATCTACATCTTGCACATGCTCAGTAACCGTGATTACGTGGCTGAAAACAACTGGATGAATATCAACTACATCTTGCACATGCTCAGTAACCGTGATTACGTGGCTGAAAACAACTGGATGAATAATTTTTAAAGTATTCCACACAACCGCATTGTAAGCACAACTTCAGATTCGTCTTTTAAATATCTACCACAGCTCACGCAAGGCATCTACATATTAAGCAGCCATTTTACCATATTTCAGTCTTCTGTTCTGAAGTAGTTTCATTTTTTGTCACAAACCAATGAAAATCTTACTGTAACACCCAACTAAATCCCTATACCTTACTTTCCATCTAATGACATGGTTAATTAAAGCATACATAACCAAGATACGTCGTGTTTGGTAGTGCTTCTCTAGAGATCCTCAGGATATATATATAGTATTTGAACATCAGAAATAGGTTTTTCCACCACACGAACCGAACATAAAGACAGAGTGGATACCATTTAAGTGAAATACATATCACTGTTCCGTATCCTATGAAAAAATCAAAACATAACTTAATATTATATATGGAGATAATTCGCCTTTTTTAAATTTTATTCTTGACATAATTTTGAACCTTAAGCTGCTCATTTTGCCTTTTCTCGGACGTTGTGTATTTAGTGTGCATGTATTGTTCAGTTTATGAAGATCGTAGATCTTATTAATATGACTTTCGTATTTGTCCAAAGCGAAATTTTGAATTCCATACTCAATAACAAGGAAAAATTGAGCAAAAGAAATTCTAACACACACACATATATATATATATATATATATTTGGGTCTATAAAAATGTACGTAATTTCAGTTTTGACATTATATCATATTTTCTCTACGTGTGTTTTTCACTAAAACTAACAGAAAAGAATTCAGTTTATGCTGAAGTATGGTAGCTCTGTACATTACTACATAGAAAGAGTGTGTTTACAAACGTTTACAATCTCCAGTGTTTTTGAAGCGTGGTCTCTTCTTCACAAGATGAGGAATAGGCTACTTGTCTAAAATATTCGAGTTTTAAGGCGTTTTTCTGTACTTTTATAAAAGATGCACTTTTAGATATATCATGCATTGCTATCTTTTAAACCTGCGGCAGAGGACTTGGTTTCTTACATTTACACTCAAGTTACAATGATGACCAGAGTATACCATGACTTACGGTTCTTATTGACTTATTCAACAGTATTTGTCAAAGCCACACAATGGGCTATCTGTACTCTTCACACCACTGGTATCGAAACCCGGTTTCTAGCGTTGCAAGTCCGCAGACATACCGCTGTGCCACTGGGGGACTACTTCAATAGTAAAAAAGTAGAATGGATTTAACAATGAATGATTTTTTTGAGAAATTTTAAGTCCGCAGACATACCGCTGTGCCACTGGGGGGG